CTAGGAATCTGAAAGTAGGACCAGGAGCAGGACTGATCGTCTCAGCTTCTGGCTGGTCCTCTGACAGGTGAAGACAGGATCTATGGGGCTATATGTTCTACCATGGGAACTGGGAGCAGAGAAAGGCTATAAGGAAACAGAGACCAATGAATCAGGCACATGAAGGGAAGCAGGGACAGTAAGTGGAGAGAGTCAACTATCAGATTTACTTCTGACTTCCACTGCTGGTTTCCAGGCCCTTCCCTAGCTAGGCTCAGTTGCAAATTCCATCCCATTATTTCATGAAACATTACCATTTCTAATATATCACATGCACTTTTCCTTAAGCCAGCTCAAGTTGGGTTTAGCCATGGCAAGTACAAAAAGTCCTAACTAATTCAGTCATCTTATTTTCCCTGCCTAATTCTGAGTAGCGTGTTAGCACCCATGTGAGATCATCAGTGAAACTCATAGTAAAGGCATGAGCTTAGAGGCCATCCTAACCTAAAAGGGGGATAAGGTATGTCCATATGTGATGGAAATTCTGTTTTGGCATTAGGGACACTATTAAAAAATGCATATGACTGGGACTCTGAGCTAGACCTTTCCAAAAATGGTTACTGTTTAATCCTCTCAACATTATCAGCATGATACAGATAGGGAAACTGGGGCTCAGAGTGGTTAACTCAGTTTCCTGTGATTGTATAGGTAGAAATGGGCATTGTTTGTATTCAAGTCAGTCTTTCAGACTTTAAACCTATGCTTGGGGAACAGCAGGGATGGCTGGCAGGGACCTGTGACAGGTAATGAAGCCGGTGTGGTGAGTAGGGATGAGAGATGATGGCCTGGTTTGTTGTCAACCAGGGGTCTGATGATGGAACAGATTAACCAGAGCACCTCAAAGATCTTCCCCATCTTCTCTTGAATGAGTTGATGGCTTTGGAATATTTTGGGGTCAACTTGAAGACTGTATCTACTGCTTTTACTCCATGAGAGCGGACCATGCTGTCTTAACCAATTGTGGTCTCGGTAACCCTCGTCTGAAACCATCTGCAGACTATAACCATGAAACACACCTTTCCGATTGTGCTTCCTAATTCATCCTTGGACATACTTGAAGAGCGGCCTGCACAAGAACACCCTTTGCCTTTGAAACAACTGATGGTCAGTGTCCCCTGCAATTCTCATCTATGTCTGATTTTCCTTTACTATTTGGGTACAAAGGTTTTCAAAACCCAAAGTGCTATAACTAAAAGTCTGTGTATCTTTCCATTGTTTCGGTTGACTGGATTAGCAGACCTTCTAGGTAGGCAGTGGGAACTAAAAGAATGTCCACTGGCCATTTGCCGGGGAATGGAATCTCTGTAGAAGAAATGACTATGATCATTCGACATTCAGAATCCTGGGTATTCTACCCAGGGGGCTGGTGTTGCAGGTGAGGCCAGGTTGCATCTGCAGGTTATTTCAATACTCATATTCCAGCCTGGTGATGAGAAGTACTAGAAGGCAAATCTTGTCTTGATTATGTGAATTCATTAAGAATTCACTAAATTACTAGCAAACCTGAAATCTCAAATTCAGACTGTAGCAGATGCATCTGAAGGAATTCCTGGTCATTACTCAGATCAGAGAGCCTAAGGCACTAGTTTTCTGTGGGTTGCACACCTGAGAGGCTGCACACCCTGGGAGGGCTGAGACTGTGTTCAGCTAATGCTCCTTGACCTCACACCAGGTGCTGTGGCCGGGGCTACCAAGCCTCCAGGCTCTGACACATACTGTTTTTCATCTCTGGACTGCCTTTCCCTGCTGTCCACTCTCACTCACTTGGCAAAACACATCCACCCCATCTTTCTGAAGCTTTTCCTGATCCCTTCAGCCCACCTGACTCACTTTTGGCGCCGCCTTGGATCTGTACACATAACTTTTTGGACACACCGGTCATGCCGGACTACGGGGCATCTGTTTCCTCGGGAGCTCACTCTCCTGGACCAGGGCTCCTTGAGCACAGAGAGCGTGCTTCAGCCAGTTCTGGATCCTCAGCCTTTTGCTTCATGCTAAACAAGCCGTTTAGAGTCATTTGAGTCACACATCTCAATATGTCAATATCTTTGGATTCCTTCCTCATCCTCACTGTGAAGATGAAGACAACAAAGCCCACAGAAAAAACACCCTTTGCCCTTAGGTTACATCAGGGTTTTTGGCAGACGGAGGTTTAGTAACAAATGTAGCCTTCTCAAGAATATGAGTTTATATTCTAATTTTCCAACTAGCAGTATGTAAAATGCACACATGATTTAGCTTAGCAATCTTCCCTTCTAGGGAGGTACTCCATGACTATGCTCACAAAACGCTTGTCAAGACACGTATAAGGATGCCCCTTGCTGCATCCTGTGTTAGCTGACGCCGGGAAACCACCAGTGTGGTCACTTACAAAGGGCCAGTATATCCTCCGGAATGTACACCTAAACCATGATTTTGTGGAAAGCATAATTTGAAAGGTCTAACTATATCTATAAGCAAATGTATGGAAAGTCTATACTGTGACTAAAGCACAGTACTGAAGAATATGTGGAAGTATCCCTTTTGTTAACATTCAACATCACACATGGTTCTTTGGTCCCAGGCTGGTGTGTGCATAATAGCAGCCAAATGACCTCGTTCTTAATATGCAGAGCCTTTTCAAACATTTAAATTCACTCAATCTTCACAACAACTATGATTAGCCCCATTTTACAGAAGAGGAAAATGAGGCAAAGAGAGGCTGTCTTGTTCGAAATCACACAGCTGGAAAGTGGTAGGGCTGACATTCAGCATCACCTGAGAAATTGTTATATGTGCATATTCCTGCCTGCCCCCACCGAATCACCCCCTGCGGGTGGGTCCTGGCAGCCTGCGAAGGAACAAGCTTTGCAGGTGATTTCAGTGCCCGTCAGGGCTGGGAAGCACTGCTCCAGCCATTATATTTTACCGGTTATTACACTATTTCTAAAGGAACCACAAAACTATTAGCTGTTGAGAGACTGAGCTTGGGAAAGGGCGGCAGCGGGTGGAGGAAGATACTCACTTTAACTTCGTTACTTATTGAACTCCGTGGAGTGTCTAGACCTACCTATATTGTATTACTTTCACTTTGATTGGTTTTAAAGGTCAACTGAAATCACTGGGCAGGAGGATTATGGGACATTTTTATATGTTTGGGTTTTTTCTCTATACTTCTCTATATTAAGACAATAAGGAAACAGGATTAACCAAGACATGTTATTTAAAGAAGAAAAAAAAAAACCGCTCGGAAATGTGCTGCTTACAAAAAGATGCAGGCAAGCTCTCCTACCAGAGATCCGAACTTTGTGTCTGCCGTGGGAGAGCATCTCCTGGCAAAACAAATGGTTCTCTCACCACCGGAGGAGCTGCCCTCCTCTCCTTAAATTGGCCGCATCCATCACCGTCGGCCCAGACGTGGTGGCTTTTCAATCCTGAGCCCCGGTGTGATAATTGGCATAATTTCCCCGAGATAATGTGGAGGTTAATGAGGTACAGGAAGCTTTAGGCTATCCGCTTTCACTTTCAGCTCAGGAAACCCGGGCTTTGATGAGAATGGGGGAAAATCAACCAAAAACAAGAATGAAGAGGTCACAGGAGAATGTGGGTACAGACCAGAGACCAGAGGCAGAGAGGGGAGTCATCCCAGCCCGCTGTGGGGGGGGGGCATCTCAGCTCTGGAGGGAAGCCCCTCCCTCTCTTAGCTTTGAGGGAGAATCCCCGCCCAGGAGGGGCCCTGGGCACCCCAGCATATTCTAACTCTGTACTATGCTTAGTCGTGCTTGGGACTGTCCAAAAAAATAAAAAATAAAACCCAGTTTCATTCATTTAAAAAAATTCAAAATATCCAGAAGACTCTCTACTTTCTCAGAATTTCCTAAGCACAGTAGAATATTCAAGGCTCTGTGAAGTCCTCCACTAGGAAACACGTCCAGTGTTGACTAACCCAGCGCTATCCAGGCAAATCTGACGAAGGAAACTTAAAAACAATTAATTTCACCTTCTGGTTGCTTCTAAGAGAGCCATAGTGTTGTACTGTATTCACTGCAGTGTAACCCGGGGAATTCTAGTACAAACAAAAGTAATGTTTTTAGACTAGACTGTTAAAACCATGAATGCACTCATTTATTTAACCGTCGACTGGCTGTGTGTGCCCTGCAGGCAGGTACTGCGGTTGGCGACCCAGTGAGGAAACCAACATTGTACCCACCCTGAAAGCTCTCCTAGCCTAGGCGGGAGAGAGGAACATAAACAAACACGAATGATGGCGAGAGAAAGGGCCGCGGGGGAGGCAGGTCCCCCGTGTTAGAAGAGCACAGGGTGGAGCTCCTGCCAGGGGAGCAAAGGAGAGGAACTGGGACCTCGGTGTGGGGTGAAGAAGCCCCACAGAACACTGAACAAGGGCCGTGCCTGGGCTTTTGCATCAGATGAGCAGGCTCCGTCATCTGTCAGCTCTGTGAGTTTGGGCACTTTATTTATCCCTCTGGAATCAGATTTCCTTATGTGTAAATGGAGCACTAAGAACACCGAACTTACGGGACTGGTGCAAGGATTGAATGCACATCAATCACATACTTAATGGAGAAGTTTCGCATGCAAAAGAGGATTCCTCAGGTAAAGGACGGCCAAGGTGCAGGTGACTGACAGTGGCTGAGAGGGTAGGGCAGAAGGAACTCTGAGGAGCCCACCTACCATCTGGCTGAGTGCCTGGACAACGGGGATGTGAGACAGAAGAGGACAAAGAGCAGGTTTATTTGCCCCTTTTTCTTTTTGGGGGGCAGGGGGGTATATGAATATAATTAATTTTCCTTAAAATCATGGTGTAGGGGTTTGAATAGTGTCTCCTAAAAACATACGTTCAAGTTCTAACCTCAGTACCTGTGAAGGTAACCTTATTCAGAAATAGGGTCTTTGCAGTTGTAATTAATTACGATGAAGTCATGGGAGGGGGCACTAAATCCAATGTCTATTATCCATATAAGACCAGGAGAAAACACACAGAGACACCTCGGAAAGAAAGCTGCATGAAGGCAGAGGAAGACATTGGACAGATGCAGCTGTGAGCCAAGGACTGCCAGCAACCAGCAGAAGCCCTCGGAGAGGCACGCAATCGACTTTCCCTCAGGTCTTCCAGAAGGAACCAGCCCTACCGGCACAGTGATTTTGGACCTCTGGCTTCTAGAACTGTACTCAAATAAATTCCTGGTGTTTTAAGCCACCCAGTTTGTAGTGCTTTGTGAAGTAGCCCTAGGGGATGAATTCACGGGGTTTCTCACCTTCCGCACTGCTGACATTTTGGGCGGGGTGACTTCTTGGCCAGGTGATGGGGAGGGCTGTTCTGAGCACTGGAGGATACTGAGCAGCACCCACGGCCTTTCTTCACTGGATGCCTGTAGCAACACCACCGCCACCCTCCCAGGCTGTGACAAACAAAAATGTCTTCAAACATTGCCAAATATCCTGGGGAGGGGGGTGGTGTATGTGCAAATCTTCCCTGGTTGAGGACAATTGCTTGCTTGCTTGTTCATTTACTTATCCATTCACTGGTGCATTTGTTTATATTCAGTAACTATTTACTTAGAAATGACCATGGGCCAGGTATCCTCTGAGGCTCTGGGAATGCAATGGAAGCCACAGTCTTTATGTTCATGAAGCTTACTGTGGAGCGGGGAACACAGAGTCTAACCAATCATCACACAAACTCTTACCAACTGGGGTAAATGCCCAGAGCAAGTGACTATGTCTCCAGACAAACACGTAACAAAGGAGCCTGACCTAGATGGTGGGCCCAGGGGGTCTGACGGAGGTCTGGGAACTAAAGGGTTGCCTAGGCACAGATGAGCATCCCAGGGAGAGGAAGGGCACCTGCAAAGGTCCTGCGGTGGAAAGGAGCACGGGGAATATGGGAAGGAAGGTGGTTGCTGAGGGAGGCTGAGGGCAGGACTCAGGATTCGGTACATCCCAGGATCTGACCTGGCTACAGGGCACAGGAAAGAAATGTCACAGCAGGAGAGACAGAGAGGGCCCCCTGGTGACTACTTCACTCAACTCCAAGGTAGCTTGGGGACAACTAGACTTTTGTTTTTTCCAACACAGTGGGGCCCTCTCTGCCCTGTGGCTGCAGGCTCCCAGGTCTATCTGGGATACCTACCGGTGGACACGTAGTATTTGAGAAGGGCTGTCTGGCTTTTTATGGTTTAGTGAAGAGGTGTCCAGAGGCCATCATGTCGGCCCATAAAAAATGTTCAGAAATCTATATTTATGCCTTGTAGCTCTCTGGCAAAAATAGCATATTGTCCTACAAGATGGATGCAACCAGCTCCTTCCAGGGAGTACAGTTTTCCCTGGAAGGCCCTTTGGAGATGGATGTGCTGCCTTGCTGCCCACTGATTTGAGCTCTGGGGAAGAGCCCTGCTCAGCAGGCATCGGGTCTGGAGCAAACGGCACCCCAGCTCCTGCTGCCCCGTCTTCACTGCCCTCTCTTGCACTTTTGTACTGACACCCCGACTACAAGGCGTCCCCGGCAAAGGGCTTGAGCATGAGGCCTCGGTGCTTGTCACCCAGGTCTGCAGCTCCCTGGGGAAGACCCCTCCACTCCCTGGATTCTCAGCTTTCTCTTCTGTAAAATGGTGTGAATAACCCCTGCCCTAGGCTCTCCAAAACTCTGCTTGCCAATCAGATGAGAGTCTGGTGTGGGGACCCTTCCCAGAAAGGGAGGCCACAGGCCACGGAGAAAGCATGGGCCTGTCAGACTCAGGGTTAAATCCTGATTTCCCCAATTACAGCCCTGAGGCTCCATTTCCTCAACTGTGAAAAGGGGACAATCATGATCTCCCATGAACGTGTGGGAAGGATTAAACACTTTAATATGGAAGCTTCCTAGCACAATCTTGACTCAGTGCGTAGCTGCAATTACTAACGTTAAGTGTGGGCTTTGGGAAACTGTGAAGGATGGAAAGGAATGCAGCCTAGCCTCCTGGAGGCAGAGCGCTGGTGTCCAGGGACGGGCACGCCTGGGGCCTCTGACAGTCACCCCCCCAGGCGCCGGGTGTGAAGCATCTTTCATCCCCAGCACGCAGAGCACCATCCCCGGCCTGGCCGCCCTGGGTCCCTCTCTGTAGTGCCTTCTCCTCACTGCCCCATCCTCTCCTTTTCCCTCGCCACCTCTCAGGAGGCCTTGCTGTAGAGTAGGCCTTCCCTCCTCCATTCAGGGGCTCGGTCACAGCTGTGAGACCCCTCAGCCATGTCCTTGGTGGAGGTCATCTCTTGCATCGCTCTGCACCCTTAGGACCTTACTCGCCCCTTTCTTACAACTTCTCACCATGTCCTTCCTCACGCGTCTGACCCTGGGGTACAGCCTCCCCCCGCACTTGCTGTCCCCACGCATCCTGCCTGGACAGAGCTGGCGGCGGCTGGGTCTGAGTGGGGCCTCTCTGCATCCCTCTCAGGGCCCCGCCCTCCTCCTCTCTCCCTTCCTCAGAGATCACCTCATCACCTTGCCACCCTTTCCAGCCACGCACTGTGCTGGGGGTAGGTTCAGAGGTGCTCAGGGAGCTCACATCCCCTGGTAGGGGGACAGTTACAGTAAGAATGGATGAGATAGGAACAGGTCACGACAGGCTCCGTGCAGAAAAATAAAGCCAGGTAAGCCTCTAGAGGGTGTCAGGAGAAGCTGTTTTAGAAGAGGGAGATCAGGGCCCACAGAGCGTGGGGGGCTTGGCATGGCGTCCCGGTGGGGCTGTCTTCTCAATTCCCAGAGTCTGCCCCTGGCTGGGAAGTCGACCCAAGGCAACCCCTGTCTCTTCAGCAGGTGTGTTCGTTCCCTAGGCCTGCGGTAATAAATTACCATCTTGGTGGCTTCAAACAACAGAAATGCATTCTCTCCGGGTTCCAGAGGCCAGACGTCTGAGATCCAGGTGCTGGCAGAGCTGTGCTTCCCCAGCGGCTCCCAGGGAGCTTCCTCTTTTGCTTCTCTCACTCCTGGCAGCTCCAGGCGCTCCTTGGCTTGTGGCTACATCGCTCGGATCTCTGTCTCCAACTTCGCACGGCCATCTCCTTTGTGTCTGTGTCTTCTCCCCGTCTGTCTCTTGCAAAGGTCTTCTAAGAACACTTGCCATCAGACATAGAGCCCATTCAGGTAATCCAGAATGATCTCATCTAGAAATCCTTCATTTATTTACAATTTTCCCAAATAAGGTAGTGTTCACAGGTTCTGAGGGTTAGGGTATCAATGTATCTTTCTGGGGTCACCATGTAGCACTGAGGGAAGGACCAGTCTCAAAGTTGCTGTCTGTTCACCCAGAGGACCCCTGCTTCGGTGCAGGCATTTATATCACCATTTCACTTTGGATTAAATTTATTTCTGGTTTTATTTTTAAGCCTTTGAAACTTCGGTGCCAGGCCACGTGGGTTTCCTGGTTAGGCATGTCGGCATCCCCTCCTCCTCTGAAGGCTTGAGCAGCCCCTCCCCACCACTCCCCAGACACGCCCACCGCGCGTGCTCAGACTCAGAAACGCCGCCAGACGCGGGAGGGGTGGCCCTCCTCCCTCGGACCAGGCCCCTGTCGGCCTCCTGCGGAATCCGGGCTCGCCCAGGATTCAGGGCAAGAGGACGAAATGATTCCCAGCTGGAAAAACAACCACGTCTGCTGGGCTGGCCCGGAGCACAGAGAAAGAGCCGGAGGCTCAGGGTCCGTCCAGCCTTTGGTTTCTTTTGCGTTTTAACTCAAATTCCTTTTGTTTCTGGTACTGAAACAGACTAGACACACACACACACACAGCAAACATGCAAACAGTTCAGCTGAGTATGATCAAATGGTGGGAAGTATAAAATGACACGGAAAAAAAAAATCACTGTTTTACTTTTCCTTTTGCCAAATCCCAGTCTTCTTTCTCCAGAAACGTATTTTCTGCAGAAAACGTGCACATCCCCCTGAGGACACGCACATTCGTGTGCACCGCTAACGTCTCTTTCTGTTTTTACATTCTATACATGTACGTATTTACATGAAAAGACTTTACATTATTTAAAAGGGCTCTCCTTTCCCATGGCCCTGCACAATGCTTTTCCTCCCTACGGTCTGTCTTGGACAGCTGTCCTAGTTGGATATACGGATTTAGCTCATTTTTAACAGCTGCAAAGAACTCCATTCAACGGATGTACCATCATTTATACACTGGCTTCTGATGGAGTGAGTTCTGAACAAGGTTTAGCCTTCTGACAGGCTGGTGTTCTTTCCACTCTTGCTGTACATGGAGCAAACATGCATATAAATAATATGATAAATATATAAAATCATATTATTCATACATGTAATAATATACATAATGTAGCACATAACAGCATATGAAATATATATTATGTAGACTATATAGCATCATATATAATTTTAATATATTTCATATTAATATATTACATATATAGTGTATATAATTTAATTATCATGACTATAGGTGACTGGAATCTTTACTTTATAGATAGGGTCTGAATTTTTAATCTCTGACATGAAGCTAGGGAAACTGAGGCTGATGGAGGTGAGAAGCTTTAGGCAAAGTCAAGGGAAGTGAGATTCCAAGTCCCTTATTCTTTATGTTATGCCACACTCCCCACTGTTTTAGTTTCCTGACAATCTGGCATAAGCCGTACCCTTTGGGTTTCCAGCACTAGCATCCTTCCTGGCCCTGTTTTTCCTTTCAGAGTCAATTCTCTGTTCTTAAAGACCAGAGGGAGTGCAGGCATCCTCCTGTCTGAAGAAGTGCAGTGGGCGGACCGCCGTGTCAAGCGAGGCCGGCTCCTCGATGGGCTGTGAATTCCACACCCTCAGGGGCCCACATGTGTCTGCATTATTTCCCATGCAGGCTTCTCCGCCAGCGATTACACTCCAGGGAAAAGAAAAATAAACTTGGCCCAGTGTTGGCCCGTCCTGATTCCTGGGTGGGCCTAATAGCTGTGGGGTCAAGGCACTCAGCTCACGGCCCCGTACAACTCCCTGCTCTTTGGGATGGGCCCAGGAGAAGGGTACACTGGGTGAGCCTGACGGCTGCAGCAGACGCCAACTCATTCAACTGGCCCACGATGGCCTCAGTGTCGAATCAAGTCAGATTCTGAAACATTGACAGAGTCAGTGATAGAAGACTGGCCTTGGAACCTCTGGTCTAGACTCCGTGGCCGTGTGGTCT